CAAGACGGCAGATTGCAAAAGTTGTAAAGATGGACTTTTGGTCGATATTTTTGTATTTGTATAGGCAATAGCATGTTTTGTAGTGGTATTTTGGATAAATACTACGCGTGATATTTCAAAATTGTCAAACATATTTCTTTCACAAGTGAAGCAACCATCATTAATGTTAATGGTCGTGATTTCATGTACAAGGATTGAGTAAGGACTACCCGAAGTATRCAGAGTGTAGTTGTTGATTTTGGACTTATTTCTTCTGTCTAATTAAAAGGCTTTTCTAAGCCCTTTATACATAGCATTCTGAAAAGATTTTAAAAATGCAGCCAAGAGAATTGTGGGTCGAAGGGTAAAAAGAGGAAACTAAGTCAAACTCCAACAATGTCAAGAAAAACAAAACTGATTCGACGTTGGAAGTTATCCTTGACGAGCATTTGTAGAATGTTAGAAAAAAGTACTAATGTAGATCTCAGCAGCTTCGGCTACATTCGTACTTCTTTCTACAAATWTGATTGATTTTCTTTACGGATAATCATAAAATAGAGATAGTATTAACTTCGATAGCTTTTAAGCTTTAACCACACGTGTAAAAATATTTCAAACTGATTAATTCGTGATCTGCAGTGCCGGATCAAGGATTTTTCAAAGGGGGGTTCCTCTTTGTTTTCGCATTTTATTACGAACTTTTTTACTGCGCCTCTCGAACTGTAGCAAATGTAGCGTGAATGTATTGAGTAAAAATTCATTTATTTCATTTATCACTTATTTTATTTTTTATGCTCGAGGGGGGTTCCAAGGAACCCATGGAATCCCCCCTGGTTCCGCCACTSATCTGTGASCGCATGCAATATCCGCMTCTAAAAGAGAGTATAATTCACGTCTAAGTGCTAGAGAAGTAGATCTACGATTTAGTTCTATTTGTTTATTAGTTAACACATGTAAATTTTAGAATCGATTGTATAAAATCTTCATTAAGTACACAGCAGTCAGTTCAAATTAAAGATTGAGCGCTTCTAGCATCCATCGATTGTCATCCMTGWATTTTATATATAGTCATMGACAWATGAACGACTYAAYAACCTTAATTCCAAACTCCACAGYCAGCTTTCYCTGCCCATTTAAAGATACAAGTGTGCTTCAGACTCTAAAACTCTTCGCAATCTTCTTTATTGGAGGATGTGGAATTTTGAACAATGTCTTCATCATTGTTCTCGCTCTCAAATACACCAGGAAAAACAACCTCCATCACTTGATAATCAATATGGCAGTTTCCGATGCACTTACTGTTTTAGCGATGTTTGGATATCAAATACCACTCCTTTGGGAGCGATTTTCATGGGCCAATATCAAGATGCATTCTGGGGACACAGTTTGCAAGACTTTGACGTTCTTTGCATTTTCTTCAATGCTGGCTTCGTACTCTACACTAGTGATAATAGCGATTGAAAGATTTAAAGCTTCAAGGGGAAGTATACGCATTTTACGGCCATACACGCCAAAACAGCGTCTGGGAGCTGTTGCTTGCTCTTGGCTGATTGCACTAGCRCTAACGTCACATGAAACGCCCTATAGAACCATTGAAGAGACCTTGTCAGGGAGTAGMACACATAAATGCAATGGATATTCTAAAGTACCGGTTGCTTTGACATCATTTGTGTACACAATACTTGTTTGTGCGTTTTGCTGTATTATCATATTAAGTACTTTCACTCTAAGAAGAATTTCGCACCGACATTCAATCGAAGCAAGCCTTTCAGAAGTGCAAAGGCAAGCGAGGGAGAAGAAAATATCTAGTGCCATCAAAATGGTCTTATCCTCGTTGCTTTTGTATTATTTTTGCTATCTTCCTGTGGTCATTTCAAACTTGATGAGTMGGTTTTCGGCCTTTCATGATAAAATCTACATTGATTGCTATGACTTATATCTGTCCAGCTTTTTGAGAAACTTTCTGCCTGTCGTCAATTCCTGCTTTGGTCCTTGCACGTACATTATCTTCTTGTCCGACTTTCGTCGAGCAGCTAAAAAAKTRATTTGCAGGACTGGCAGCAACGCARTTGAGACGTCGTCGAATTCATGAGCACATATCTATATTTCGTTTAGATTTTGGCGCGCATTGAAGAACTGGTTCATCTAAACTCTTTCTCTTAAATGTTTTGTGTCCTTCCTTCAGGCTGTGTGGCGGTACCATTGACAGTTGCTGTTTTCTTTATTCACAATTCTGTGTGGCTGCGCTTTACAGACAAAAATCAACAACAAAGAAACAGCGARTTTTCAAGAGAATTGAACATGAAAGGAGATCTGATGGGAGATTTACATAAGGGGTTTATTCTTAAGTCTTATTATTAAGTGAAAGTTCTTTGCTTCCCATTGATAAGCCGTGCGATCGCGAGAAAAGCTCACTTATCATCTTGCATTTCGAAGAATCAATAAAGCAGAAATAAGACACATACGCTTTTGAAT